GGCAAATCCCCAGGGACGCCTTTTGTCCAGTGCCGCAGCAGACGCGATAACAGCGACACGCAAAAACATTACCACAGCATACCAAGGAGCTGATAAACCTCCTCTTTCGAATTAAACTCCCTACTAATCTGCCTTCGTATGCGTAATCCGTATTCAGGCCACTATTCTACAAAATCAAGCATAATTTTCAATAGCCACGTGGAAAATATTACAGATTTTCCAATTCTGCTTTGTGCGTTTCATGTAGTCGCATAGATCCTTCTGATTCTCTCGTGCTGGGTTGCATGAAATTTATGTCGATCAAAAACCGTGTTGCTCTAAGGACATATGCGTATCGTTCACGAGCTACTTAAGTTGGTTGTTCGTGATACTTGCTAAAGTATGCACCTAGTGACTTTTTCAGCCCCGAGGGATGTTTCACCGTAAAGAAAAGTGACGTCAATGGAGCATAGGGATTTATCAAAAGCTGATACGACCGCCAAATACTGGAAACGATATATGTAGGCAAGCGATATGCACTGATTACCCACATCGCTCTTAGTAGTTGTCGCAGTGATGGCGCCTTTAGCCCGAACCATAAAGAACTAGTCGCACGCTGAAAATTCAACTGTTTTAGCCCTGCAAATTTACATTCGTGAATAGTAGACGACGAACTCCATAGAGAATTGAACTCTATTGAGCCTCATTTATCACCGCTTCGAGCCATAGAGAAGCTTTATGGTTCGAGAAAAGGAAACTCCCTGCCATTGACTGACTGCGACTACTTCACTGCTAGTGCTATTTTGCGTTCGCCGTTCAAGCCGTGAAAATACATCAGTATTGAGGTCCTGTTTAACTTCGCTATAGCTGACATTGTGGGCAGAAGCTGAAAGATCACCCACGTTGCTTAAGCTTGACTTCAACAATCGACATCCATAGCTTATAGAGGACAAATTTAGACTAGTTCTACGAGAGAACAGCTCAGACCAGAGTATTTTCAACGGCTCTACACTCGTATAACCTGAAGGTGATTTATAAGAATTCAATTGATCGATAGAACCGCAATACCCAAATGTGTTTGGCTCATATAGCGTGATATATGCGAAATAGATTTTTGCCTAAAAAGACTGAATGTTTAGGTTGTAATGCATTGTACATACATTATGTAAAAATTTTTGTTCGATATGTTTAATCCATTCCTAGCCTACTTAGGCAGCTTTATCTTTAATGCTTATCATAAAAAAATTTATAGCAAAATTGATAATAGATTATTATATAATTTATATACGCGTAAATATCTAACTTGTTGCAATTTCCGCAGCATCGTCCATTCAGCAACGTCACATATAAGACAAATTCGATAAAATCGTCTGCGCACAGCCCTTAATTTTGTTAATATTAATGCGACGTCAGCCGAACCGTGTCCATATATTACTTCAGTAAACATGAGTCATTAATATTATTCATTATTATTTTGATTCGATCCTGAATCAATACTTACGGATTCAATCATGATCCAATGACGGACAGATAACTAAACTTTTTTTCAGTTAGCGTAATCCATATGACCAAATCTTTGAACCAATTAAGTGCATGTTTTTGCAACATATTAATAAAAATAATTTATTATTAAAATATTTTTTTTATGTTTCGCTTTAATAAAATAACAAAACAAAACAAAGGAACGAATTATCGAGGCCATATGTAAAGTAACTATAGGTACACAGCCAAAACTAGGGTAAGTTTGTATGCCCATAAGTTAATACCAAGGAGGTAACAATTTGTTATTTTCTGTTGTGTCAGATGTCGGACTGGGGCTTCTAACTGTGAAACGATACGGTCGTTGTGAAAACGTATAAAACTGCTGACCATCCAGAAACAAAAGGCAAATGACCCTTGGAAGCCTATAATCCGCCGTTCTATAACAGCTCTGTAAGGACGGTCGTTTCGACTAAGCCGTGGAAGGATTAGCAAGACGAAATAAATTGTAAACAATTAAGTATCCGCCCTGTGTATAAATACTGTACGTTAATGCTAGCTAGATATTCTGTTTGTTGTTTCACAAATAAAAATTCTCGTTAGATTATATCGTTATTGACAGCTTGATATACACTATAAATTTCAACAGGGATTTTATTTATTTTTCCCTGTTTCTTTTCTCTCTCTCTTTCTCTCTCTCCCTCCCTTTCTCCCTCTCTCTGTGTCTGTGTTTGCGTGTACGCGTATATGCATACAAATGCGTCTTCCTGTTTCACATCCGTTCTATGTGCCTCACTCTACGATTCTGTTACGAGACCGTAACACAACATGGCTAATCAACAGCAACAAGACGAAACAGAGCACCAGCCAACCAGCAGGAACCGGACGGTAGTAGTGAGACTGCAATCCTCACCCGTCGATAACGGTATACACATGTTTATCGTGTGCTTCTATGTGTGAGAGAAGGATTCTATTTGTATCTGTGAAAGGGTCGCGCATCCTTCCGTTGCATCCTGCTTCCCTGTTGTCCTTGTGCATCGTTCTCCTCGACTCTACACGTCCATTCTTCATTGACGTTATCCGCCATCGTCTAATGAATATGCTTCAGCAACGACTACGTCATTGGTGTTGTTCGACTACGACCGATCGCCGTACGTCTGGCGGACAGTTGCAAGAAACACACTGGAACCAAAAAAGACGAGTTGATGCTGGAAAGGATCTGGTCCGCTACTTTCTAACTACTTTGTTTTTTATTAGACGCCGCCTTTAGAAATATACTAGCATTAATGATTGGTCATGTCCCTTTCTAGGGCTGTGCAAGTTTAATAAGGCAAGTGAGGCGGCAATAACGATAAATAGACTGACATGACATGTAGTAGGCCAGCGACGAGACCTATCCATCTGGTGTTTGTTTTCGAACACCGGCTGCCAAGTGTAGTTAGCGAACTCTATCACCACAAAGGCGGATAGGCAGACCGATTAAGGTCTGCATCAATGTACCGCTGCCTTCATGGAGGAGGCTTCGAAGCTGGAAGCAGTATGGTAAAACGACAAAAAGCTTGACCACTCCCAAATAACGATTATACTATTTAGTCGAACCAATTCAGTCAATTGTTTAATTAGTAATCATGCCGTCAATCTATAGGGCGTTAATAGTGTGACCGTCGTCTTACTGCCCGTTCGATCCATCATTAGTACGACATACTGCACTCCTGTTGATGCCTTCTGCTTGAATCACAGCTATTCGGTCAAACCGTGCCTTTTTTTCCGACGCCTTTTGCTTCTTCTCATTAGTGCTTTCTTTTCGAGAAGACTATACTATACAGGGCAAAGAAAAACAGAAAAAACAATCGACAGGTAGCATGAAGCATGAGCTTCTTACGTATCGGTACATATATGCGTGAGTGGCAAACACACTGAGCACTTTAGCTAACAATGTGAGTAGAAGAATCGTTAAAAGCTTTATCGAACGTCAGCCTGGACACCAGTAAACGTCAAAAGTAGGCTTCATCACCCTTGATCACCTTGATCACCACGAAAACCGGCGAATATCATTCGCCAGTACTCGTGGATTCTGCGGCTGACTAGATTGCCAGCCTTGTCGAGCTAATAGTCAGCATCAGCAGCGGTTGTGATGTTCGATGCATTGGGCAGGACTCCTGGCTCACAGCACGGCATTACGTCCATACAAGCACCAGTGCTAGCCGTGAAGAGGCTCTGGCGCCCATCCCGAATGAGCGAAATGGTAATTATATAAAATTGAAGCGGTCAGACCACAACATAGTCACCACGCATCGTCCGCCCTGTATCTGATGTACTGTAAGGCGTAATATAGACTGTTAAAGCGCGTATATGTACCAAAACTAGTACTATTCTTTCAGTGAATTTGCTCACCGTTCAAACATGAACTATGTTCCAAACATCTAGACAGGACATAACTTTATAGCTACCGAAGTCAACATACATTAATATCTGCATATAAGCAAAAATAATAAAGTCACTAAAGGAACTCGAGCGTAAGCCATCCACGCGTTAATGTATTATGGTATGATATAACGACACAATGACGTTTCGAATTGTATAAACGCAAAAATATTATTACCACTAACGGAAAACAGCAGCGACACGAAAAACAGCCAGCGATGTACAAATAATAACAGGTTTAAAATTGGTCTGTCGACTTCATTGATCAGTAATAGCGGGTCTGACGCTTAGATCAAAATATAAAATACAGCCCAGTTGAATACGTTCCATTCGCAAAATTTACTAATGTAAGGCACGCAATACAAACACACGTTAAGCTCGTATGTAATATCTAGAGTATGTTATAAAAAAAAAGGTACCCGATTAAAGCAATAGGTCGATGCTACCCTACATGAGCCTGATCAGTGAGTCAGGATTTAAACAAATCACCCTGACGTGATTTCGCTATCAGCAAACATATAAGTCTAGCGTTAGATATTCTGCTCACTAAAACGAGTCGATTGATAACCACGCGTTATACCGCCTGTAAAATGTGGGTTTTCGTTTCATTACAGCGCCCGATAACGTCAATACGAAAAGCAACAAAAAAAAACAAACGAAATTGACATGCGAGATTAAAACTCTGTCTAATCGCACCGACATTCGCTTTCTTACTGGATCAACAAGGAAGACTTAGATAAATACCGTGTTACTCTTAATAAACAAATGCACTTATGGATAGAGAAAGACAACTTAAAACGTGTGTCCGTTTGAACGAGCTGCGGAACGTTGCTAAGCATATTGCGGGAGGAGTTTCCGAGTGCATTGTAGGCTGCGTTTTGGACTGTCCACAGAAAAACGAATCCTTTTGTTCTAGACCAGTTATAGCCAGAGGGCGGGCAGGCAGACCACAATCCTAATTATATTGTAAGTTTAATACTGCCACTTAATATCCAGTTGTTGCCAGAAACGACGACATCAATGTTTGCTCTCTCCCTTGTGGACCCTCCTGCATGTACCACAATATGTACACCGTGTAGCGGCTTATTCTAGAATAATTGAACACAAACAAGCTCATTATTAAATATCAAGTGTGTATGTACATACGGTTGAATGAAGCACGCTGTAACGTAAGAAGATGTCTCTCACTAGCATTTAGACAACGAGGTACAGTCGACATCCATATACAGTTTAGCGCCATGTTCATAGGAACAAGCATAGGCGTATTTGATAACCTCTAGCTCGTATACAAGAATCTTTCTTTGACTAATTTCTATCGGCCTCTCCTTAACGGCCTTCAGCGTCTGCTTAACTTTCCGATCCTTAATTTTTTTGAATGTGTTAATTGTTGCTTGCTTGTCGTAGAGTTAGTTATTGGTCCTTCACCTGTTGGCTCGAGCGAAGGTTTCACAGCTATTTACCCCTGTAGTTCTGGTGCCTGATCTTTCTTGAGAGTAACAGTCATCAGCGGGGGTTGTTCTTTAGTTCAACGCGTCATCTATGATTGTGCGTACAACCAATGTCCAGTTTCCCATTTGTACAATGACGACCACCCGAGTATCCTCGGCTCATGTGACTTTAGCTACAGCGTATTACTTTTTGCTTGGCTGCATCTGGGTTTTGTCAGCAATCGAAATATCCGATGTGCTCCTGTTCGGCTCTGAATTTAGATCTCAAGACGCAAAATCAACGAATAAACTTTTTTGTTAAACGACTCCCATGCGGGAATCGGGTTGTTTATCTACGAACGCACTAAGAAGTGGACGATATTAGAGACAATATGGTGGAGCGCTAATATATCCAGCAGACCTCTGAAGGATATTACGTTAGCATCTGCACTAGTCTGTATAATCACCCTACATGTTGACATAGGCCTCTTTTCTATTGTTTAAAGGTTGCGATTACAAATTCTCTAACTGCTTTATAATATCTTAGGCCGAAAATTCGCTAATCAGTAGATTCAATAGGCGTCTCGAATGAGATCGCCGGCGACAAACGAGTCCGCTACTTAAGTTATTCAAGCTTTGTGCAGATGTACGAATGTTTTAGTTCGTGTTGAGTTTCCAATGGAAACAAGTGGGCATTGAATCACGGTAGGGCTAGGTTCTTGCGTCCCATATGTTTCACAGGTTCTGTAGGTTAATTTTTTTACTGCTTTTTCGGTCGGATGAAATCTGTAAAAATACCATTATTGTCGATTACACGGCTACATATCGCTGTCTCGAGTCTGCCAGGTTGTCGGTGACAAATGAACTGCCCTGGTATCGCCATTAAAATACCAAAATGCTTGATGTTGTTGCTAATGGCAGCAAAATGTCGGTTCACTTTAGCGTTATTAATGTTCCAACGTATAATTGTTGGTAGTACTCAATTTATATTGCCCTGAACGATCAAGTGTTTGGAGATAATTTCTTAAGAGATGCTCAACGGACAAACTCATTACTGCCACTCGATAAGTCGACTGGCAGTGGGATGCTATGCACGTCGCATAAAATATGGCTCACATTTTCGTTCGTTCAAATTATAAAAAACAATGCGAAAAAACACAAAGTTTTTACCCTTTACCTCGAACGAACTGCTGTCTGCGGAGTATGTCAGTCGCTTAAATTGCTTCTTAGATGTCAAAAAATATTGTTTTGCCGGGAACCTCCGTCCCGTTGATTGTCGTAAGCCGCTCAAAACATTGTACGTCCATATTCAGTATTCCTCTTGCTGTTCACGAGCTTAACAAACAGGCTGACCACTTCCGTTAGCCTGGGGTTCCCAATAGGCAGGTACGCGAAAAAACCACGAGGCCCGTATCTACCTACAGTGAGGTAGTACGACACTGATAATATCCGAATATTACTACGAGCAATTGCTTTTCTATCCACACTTGGATGTAGTCAATATAAATTCGTAAACAAAAACAAGAATGCAGCATTTGCTTCCAGAGAATCTCGCATAGCGATAATGCACGAATGGTGACCTCTAGTGAAAGGGACGATATTCGGCCACAATGCGCACTGCCTAGCTAGAGCCTTTATTTTGGCAATTCAAAAGTGGCCAACGTGTACTTTCCCAATGTTTAGTCCGAAATCATGATACGTGCTACCTATCGTAATCCTCTACAGAACATTTTCCGAGGATCGTTTTGCAAAAAGATTATACTCCACAGCGTCTGAACAACCCTGTTCGCTATTGACTTCTTTATCTGTTATGGATAACTGATAGCTATCTCTAGGCCGGATAGTGCATCCTCGTTCCCCTCCTTTTCTAATTGTCTATATTTAGCCATATATTGAAATCGATACAGGGCGATAGCGTTGCTTTGTAGCGCTCCTCTATAACGGACATCGAAAGGATATCTAGGATATCGAAAGGATTGTTTGTATTAAGTGTAAAACAATTTTGGGCACACCTGTTCGCGCCTTATTTGACCCTCAAAGTTCTTCAATCATACTATGAGCCATCCTTGCTTTACGTCTATCTCGCGTTTGGTAAAAGCGCAACCGGTCCCTTCGAAGTGCCAAGAAACTCTTTGAAGAATCGTTTATATATGCCATGAGAAAGGACATCTATTTAGACGACAATGGCTTGTTTTTGGAATCAAACGAAACTAATACTTGATTCAAAGGAACTGGATACTTCTCCCAGATTGCCGCACAAGAAGTTCGTATAGTCTTGCAGCAGCTAACAGTAATTGAGTTTATCAGAAAATTACCATACCACTGTATAATACTAAAGAGGAGGACATAGCTCGTTTACGATTCGCCGGTTGGACGTACCTCGCGTAGTTGAAGTTTTTGCGGGCGTTTTTAGCGTCTTTTAGGACAAGACTGAGATTTTTGTTGGTTTACCGCCTAGCTAATCCCGAATCCGATTCTTGACCTTTAGCCACCTGCGCCCACTATGCCTTTAAACGCCTCCGTATTTATAACCAGGAATCTCGACCAATCTTTTCACATTGATTAGTATGCCTACTGGCGGAAAGCCGTTGGATAAACATCCGTGTCCGCTAACCTGCAGTATCGGATATCGGTGATCCTAAATGGCAGAAAATGATCTTTTGAAAATGTATTCCTGTCGTAAAATTATAAGTCAAATTAGCGGCTTCTACGATCTATACATGACGAGTTTGAATGCCCTTTAATCAATCTAGTCCTCGACAGTTTCCTCCGTGTTGAGCTTGGCGAGCGAATGAAACATTGGCGTTCATGTATATGCATTCGTGTTTTCTTAAATTGGGAAGTTCTCAGCATAAATATAGGAAGGTTGTCACTGTCAGTTAGATATACGCAAGGAGTCTTGCAACAATACGCGTCACATCTACTTTTCGATTTTTAGTCAGGAACTTGTAACTTCATTTGATGAACTCATATAGAAACATTCAAAACAGCATAGCTAAAAAATCTAAGCTATATTTATTTTCAGTACGGTTTTTATACGTTCAATTCGAAGCTAGATGAGAGTTAGTGATTTTTTTACTTTACAGTTTTAACGTAGTACAAGTTTGCATTGGATTTTCGTTATGCATACATACGCCTGACAGCTCGAGCTGATTCCTTCTCCAAGATGGCCGTACATGCTTGGTAGCTTGGTAATCGTTGTACAAATTCTTGATTTCGTATCCGCTTGGTCCTTATAAAATGCTATCAACGAAAGGTAGAGATTTACCTTGTTTCGTTCCGTAGGATTTTTTTTGTAAATAAGCAAAATTTAATTCTGGTTGAAATGGCTCAATGGTGCAAAACTGCGTTATCGATCATCATTGAGATTGATGCTGGCTATGGTACCCATTAAAGGTACAAGATCTCTGAACGCCGTGCAAAAAATTAAACAAATAGTACCAAAATATACAATGGCTATCTAAGAATAAGAATTTCCGCGATGAGATCATTTGATTACGTACATATGCACGTGCTATATTTATCTCGAAGAATACCATGGATGAAGAATTTAAGTGTGCTACCGATAGTTTATTAATGAACGGTGATTCCATTAGAAATGCTTGTGAAGAATGTTTGTTTTAAAGCTCGTACACACTGACCTCGGCTACGAACGAATTAAAGTAAGCAGAGTGCATTAGGTGAGTGTCTATTTGTTTATCTAGATGCTTTCACTTAACTCCAACTGCAAAGTTTGTAACAATATATGGAGTGAACCACCAAAGGCCCTGACATTTCGGCCAAATCACCTGACAATATTTTTCCTCTTCATCTAGGTAGATACACAAATACAGACTAGTGGAAATCCGTTTCAAATCTAGTTGAACAGATACAAAATCACCAATAAACTTAATATAGGAGAATTCCTAACAAGAACCCTGCTTACCTATCGACATACCTGTCCAACGGTCATGAGCACCAATTGATGATCTTGACAATATAATACTGTCGTTATTATTTTTTTGGTAATAGCTCAAACGGTAGCGAGGCCAAAATCATAAGCCAATTTAGCGTAAGTCGCGTATTCGTATCACGGTATCAAAGCAAAGAGCTTTTGCGGGGTTGTATCTAACTTGAAAGTATCTGCATACACAGCGAGGATGACGGCCATGAGATCGCTCAGAAAGGGAGACACGGCTCTTACTGAAGAAAAAAAATCTGCTTCACATGCCAAAAATGCCGGAAGGGTATACGGAGACTGAGTGGCTACAAGGCCGATCGTGTTGGTGACGGCTTTTCCAATAGTAAAATCCAAGGGATTTCAGAGCCAGAAGGCGTGATGTATCCCAGGCCCAGAGCCGGCGAAAAACCAAATTATATAATTATCAAAACATGATTTGCGCTTACGTGCATACTTAACCGTCCCATATACGTTTGAAGAGTGAGATCCTGAATTTACCTCCTTTATGTATTATATCCTGTCAATCAAACAAAGAAAGAAAGATCTAAGTACATTTCACCAAGTGTGGCTACTTTCTTTTGGATAGTGATTTTCTTTACTGCTAGCGAACACAAATTGGACACGGAGATTTCGATAATTTCAATGATACGTAAATGCGAGTATGCTAGATAACGGTTTTCGTTTTCTCCTTAGTGATCGGTAGTGATTTGCGTAACAGTTGCTAACGAGAGCAACTTTGGGAGTATTTTTCTGCTAAACTTACTGATACTGAGATCATTTTTAAGGCTATACACACAAGCAAGATCTTGGCAACGGATTTACAGAACTGGAAGGTTAGATCTTATATTAGATTCAAACAGGAACTTTTCTCTCGGCCCTCTTCCATGTTCAATATGTCGTAATTTTTGTTTACAGTATTGGTAACCATTATTCAAATGCTTTGACCTCCGAGGCAGCGTCGTTAACTTTGTTAAACTCGTGGCTTTTTTGTGTTAACTTCCCAGGAAACGTTCGAATTAAGTTACGGCACCGCCTTGGCGTATGTATGTACGCGCGTCAAAGTGGTCACTGGATAAGCTAGAATTCGCTGTGAAGAAAAGCTGGTCTTTTACCAGTGGCAATTTTTAAAGGTCTATTGCCACAAAAGCGTTAACAGCAAAAACCTTAGGGAACAGAAAAATATGATGCTACGGCCGAATATTTGAAAACCATTTGAAGGTCAAGGAGTTGGTTGAATGTACGAGAAACGTTGACAAAACGTATATTTGGGAGTGTAAATATGGACTCATGTAGCTGCAACACAACACTTCGCATTTCACAAGTAATCTCATGTTATTTTATCTGTATATATATATATATATGTACGCCATAGATAGTACATTATTATGTATATATATGCAAAGCAGCGAATCTATAGCCGTATGTGGCTGGTGATCTAGTATCTCTATGATCACACGACTTGATCATTTATACGAGATCGAGATAAGGCCATACACACATTTTTGCTACTAATGTTTAAGAGCTAAGTACGTAAAAATTATTAAGCTAATATATAAGTTTAGAATTATAAATGATATCGAGGCCTTTCAACTCCACCCTTGAAGTCCTCATACCTTGCTTATATATGATGGTCAATATACTATATCTATTATTATTGTTACAGGCTTAAAATTCTACTTTTAAAAAACCAAAAAATCAAGCGCTACGTTTATAATGCTTAACAAATGTAATGGTTATGTGTAAATAGCTTTTTCAGATGCAGACTCCTGCTTCCATAACTATAGACCTTATATTTAACGCAAAAGATCACCACTAACACTGCTATATTTGTTTTGGTTATGAGAAGACACTAAATCTTACTGAGAACACAGAGCTATCTCAATTGGGAAATGCAGCCCTCTGGTTTGAATCTTACAGGGTGAATATATTCAAATATGATATTTACACAAATAAATAAAGATAGATATATGCATATATTTAAAAAAGTGCGCCAAAAAGATACAGTGTCCATGTTTTAGCAGAGATTCGGCATATTTGTTATACTCGCAGCAGTAATAAATAATTAGAGCGACACAAATCTGTGAGCAATGGGAATTGAAGATTAGGCCGTCCAGCTTCTTTACAGCAAAGTTGTGCTTGAACAAGGTACTCCTGAGTATTTATGTCAGATTACAATACTTGTTCTATCACATTTAAAATGAAATTGATGTACACCTCTATGGCTAACTTTGATAGGTTCCACGTATTAATTAAATATAGTAAGTTCATCAAAATGAGCGGGTACATCGGCATTGTCCGTATCTTATACTATAAAGTAAATTCTCATCAATCCTGTTGTTGTATCTCTTGAAAAGTATACGTAGACTATTTACCGTCAAAGGGAAGCTGCAGACCTATATTTGATAACAAAAACTGCTATACTTTGAAAGGGTACATGGAGCTAATAGCCTTAATCCGTTCGTGCAAACAACGTTTAACGCCAGACAACTTCACAAAGTGGAGTTTATTCTGTATGAACTAGTTAGAATCCGCGAAGTAATATACCCGTTAAGATCCCCAGATGTGAAGAATTATTGGACAACGAAATGTTCTAGCACCCCTCAGTCTGTAAAGCCACCTCCATCCATATATCCCTTCTAGTTGGGCAGGGGTTAGGTGTCATTTTGAAAAGGTTATACAAAATACTTTTTTCGGAGAACGTGCAAAAAAAGCTTTGAGATAATATCGTTAAAAGAAAGCGAATATTAAATAAAACCTCACCTTCGATAGTCTGCAGATAAACACGTTTCTACAAACCTCTAGAGGAACGATCCGCTACTAACAATGAGAGGGCGAAGTGCTCTACCGATCATATTCCAGTAACAACAACCAATCATATGGAAAATAACGTATATTATTATTATTTGTCTAGTTTTCTTCTATTCATCGTTCATTGCCTCGAATCGTATACAATGCTCCCAGAGGACTTGGATTAAAATGGAGCTTTGCTTGTGAATGGATCAGTAAGCTTCGCTGTAGTATACTTGTTTCAGATCAGCAATTAAGGCTGTAATTTAAAATAAACCGATACAGTTATCGCTATTCGGAATCGACGTACATGCACGTGCTGCATGATGAAAGCCATTGAATTGCGAGGCTCGTTTATTGATCATAATTGTGACTGTCTCTCTAGGTCTTGACCCCCATCGGGCACGACGGATGGTAACCGTAACGCATTATCAAATAGCAGTACCTTAGCTAAAGCTTCTTTATCACTATCCATTATTTATTACGCTCTTTGTTCGCGTTTCAAGTGGCCTCAAAATGAGATATGATAGCGATTTCAGTTCTCACAGAAGCAGTACGATAAACCATAGTTAAGAAGCATCTATCAATCAGTCAATAACTCAATGATTAATTGAGCACCGAACGTCCCGTAGCCTAGACAGCGTACTCTCAGACTCTATGAAATCAAAAAGCGGTGATCCAAGCTTACCCAGTAACCGTGTTTTACGATTGAAAGGCAAAGACAAAAACTAAAGTTGCTTTAAAGGGGAAAAAAACAATTTTCCGTAAAAGCACAAAATAGCAGAATACCGGTGGATATCGTAACACAACGAAGCTTTTTCATCTGCCGAAGAAGCGTGTTGTGTCGAGCTCGTCTCGATTTTGATGACCCACGACAATGAAACCCGTTGCGGGAACTGACCCCTAGCTGCATCACGCAGCCTTCGCAAGTTTACCGGTACTCCTCGGTTCTATAGAAAAAAAATATTTAGCCTGTTTCATTTATCTCTGACCGTATGATTAGGCCATTTTATACTACTATCACTCTCATATTTGACATCTTTCTGTTGATGATTACCCTAAAATCTTGGGCGCACAATCCTGTTCTGATACCTCCTTCAGTCGCTTTCCGTGTTTTGTTGCTAATAGTATTTAGGTCTATTATTCCATTTTGTGAATACACTCAGAACTTGTGTGAGGGGGGCAAACAAGTGCTATTATTCTAAGTATTCTCGGTTATTGGCAGGAACCGTTTTATGCCTATTGGATCAGTTCAGAGATTACTGCACCGGATTCGCTTAGTAGTAGTAACTCAACGGCAAAGTGAATTTAATTGTGCCACAGCTTGAACTTCAATTATTGATTGAATTCAAATTAAAAAAAACCTGGGACGTAGTTGCCCCGTGCAGCTTTTTTGATTTTATCAATGCCTTGCTGTTCAGTTTAACAGAGTTACTTAGTTTAAGGTATCTCACTTTTATTCATTATCAAGTCTATTGAACCAGCCAACGTTCAGCAGACTTTGCACGATTGACAGCGCCCGCTGACGATACATGTCTTCAAGGGAACATTTATAGCATCGCTTATTAATATACCTCCCTTCAGACTCTCTGTCGGGAAACCTATTCGAGATCAATTTGCAG